TGTAGACCTAAAGAATGCCTATCACCGAATCCCGCGTGGCAACGTGTATGGGCGCCTGCAAACATGGGATCGATAGCCAGTTGCTGCGAGACGTCCAGTAACTATATGTTAATATCAGGTCCAACATTTCCAGTAAATGGTGTTATGTCGAGACCTATCACCGGATCTCCACCAAGGTGAATTTTGCCCCTCTCCTGTTCAGCATGAACTGGATAGTCATGTGCAGCCTAGACGACAAGAGTGTTATGTGTAGACAATAAGGTTGCTGTTTCCAGACGACCTTATTTCGTTGACATCTTCTGAAATTAATCTTCATCTCTCTCTGATAAGCTTCGTAATGGTTGTTACGATGCGTGCGCGCATGTCAAAAATGAAAAGCGTAGTGCTTTTCCATCCCCTTGTTCGTTGTGCTCTGCTGATAAAGAGAGAAGCAGTAGAACAGTTGGAGAAGTCGAGTACCTCGGGGTCATGTTGACTGGCAACGGAAAATAGGAGGAACAGACCGACCAGTGAATTGAAATGGCCAGCCAGTGGCTCTTCATCCTATTGTTTATCTATGATCGTGAGTCGTGGGCCAGGACTTAAAACTTCTGTCCCAGTTACTAGCGGCTGACATGGACATTCTGAGAGGAATCGCTAGGCTCACGCCTCTCGGCATGGACAGGGGTACAGATTTATCCGGGAGAGCCTTAATGTAGGCATCTTCAGATTAAGAAGTCTCGGCTGCGATGGTTTGGGCACATGTTGCGAATGCTTCCAGAAAGGAAGGCGAAGCAACTACTTTTTGCTGAGCCGACCGGCAAAAGGCCCAATGAACGTCCAGAAATACTCTTGAGCAAGTATAATGAATGAACTTTGCTCCAGACTCAGGTTATCTTCTACCATAGAAGAAACGCGGGCGCAGCATCAGAAACGTTGGAATCTGTATCTGATGCGTTACCTCTGCGACTTGAAAGGATAAACAGTAACCGAAATTGAGTGACTGAATTGATCATTTCTGTGAGATAAAATTTGAGAATTTCGACGCTGAGTGTTAAAGCGTGGTGAAGTCGATTTATTGAATCTTGTATTCTGTCGAAACCGGACGTACGAATGATTGAATAGATAAATTTTATTGCTGGAAAATACCGTAATTTACCGTACCTTTCAGCACCAAAGTGGAAGTCAAGCTAATCCATGGCTAAGCAGGACCCCGTTTCTAGGCTAACGTCTGAGGGTCAGTCATGCTGATACCCAAGCCATGAGAATGACTGTCACTCCCAGTTTCCATTCGACGGTGTATGTTCACTTGTTTCGAACTAATGTTGCCAGGTAGGGACATGTAAAGTGGTGGATGAGATAAAATAGATAGTTATTGTTGAAGAGAATATGAGTGCCCGAGCTTAGAGAAACTTTCTGGTGCGGTGTTGCAAGCTCTATGACTTGCCATCAAAGTCAAGAAAACTAGTTGCCTAGTGCTGTACCTACCGCGAAGGCCGGTTCGAGAAGTAAAGACATTTAACAAATACATAAGGAAAAAATGAATGACGCGATTCCCTGAAAAGATGCTGTGCAGTTCTTCATCATCTTCATCTTCCATCACCGCTTCTCCTTTCGGGTCGCTGAGGCAGACATGTCAGAAAGAGAGCTTCCAACGGTCCCGATCCTGTGCCAGAGTCTGAGCTTCGGCAAAAAACAAATGGAGTCTGGAACAGACTCCTCCCATATATTTGCACCAGGTTTATCTTGACCGTCCCCCCCTGGGCCTCCTGCCGGTCGGATTTGCAAGGAACAGTCGTTTAACCTTCCTTTCTGGAGGCATTCGCAACCATGTCCAAGCCATCGCAACTGTGACTTCTCAATCTGGAGAAGCAAAGGCTGTATTCCAAGGCTTTTCCGGATGTCGCTATTCCAGACCATGTCGAGACTCTGTGCAGTTCTTATAGTCGCAATTTGCCGTAGGCGAAATAGCCAAATACACCCTCTTATCCGTTTATCAGTCATTAACTTTACATGTTCAGAACGATACGAATCTTTTTATAGGCCTAGATCTTTTGTTCAGTTTGAGTTCAACCTAATGGTCAGCAATTTTATAAAGAAAGGGACTATACATAAGCGTACAAACTGAGGGCCTGTTAATATTTTTTGAATTGCGCACCTGAAACTTCTCAGATTAGAGCGTAGTACCTTATTGAACGAAGTTTTTACAACGTCTGATATGCTGTTTTAAGAATGCTGTGAAAAGATATTAGGTACGCTGTACTGAATATCGTAATACCCGCATAACTGAGGGAAGCCGAGCATGAGACTACCAGTGTAAAAAATTAAGAGGAGTCTGATGACACAGTGCCCTACACCCACCAAAGTTTGTTTATGAGATCTTATGAACAGATGCTTTCTATGGTAAAGTAATTACCTAGTCAGCCTGGCAAGCTTCTGCCTAATTTAATTAAGAGTAATAAATTTAAGACTTCGTCGGAATGGTACTAAATGTAGAACTAAAACTTAAGAAAAGGATACGTACTAAGGTTTTCTGGGTATGATTATTGGTTTGAAGGATTTTAACATACTGAAATTTGCAATAGATGTTGAGGTTTGTTGAATATGCTTATTTGGTAAAGTAATAGTTCTGACAAGTTTCTAAGTGGTAACAACTGCCTGTAGCTAGACCAACTGTTTGTTGATTTTAAAGTAGTAATGAGTTCCCAAACGCAGAATTTCTTTCCTGAGAGACTAATTAAGGATCACAAGAAACATAGGCGCAAAGCGCCGCTGGAGCTTCAATCGTTAGGGAATCACAGACGTCTGGTTCTTTGTACTGAAGGATGAATT